GTTTTCCTCGTTAAGGGCGAAAGTTCAACAAATGCTACCAGACAGGTGATCCAATATCTTGAAAAGATGCTCAGATCAAAAGAGGAACAAACTGCGCGGCCCTTGTCAGGATACAATAATTCATATTTTATATATTTTTATAAGCAGAGTAATGAGATTCATCAAGTCAGAGGGCCGATGAGATACTACAAAAACTGCTAATTTGTTTCGATCATTACTCTGGTCCTGTCACTTCCACTATCCCAAGCTTTGTCACAAAGCCGAAGCACTGGACATATTTAAAAAAAACGGTTACATCCACACGCTACCTGATTCAGCGTCGCACAGCGTAGCGTGATTGTGACACTGACACTTGATGCAACGGCCAAATGGACCGCCGTATTGTGGCTCCCTGCGAAAGCCCGGAGCGCACGACTCGCAGAACTGGCCGACGAAGCCGTCGGGACACTGGCACGATTCAACCCACTTTGCTGGCTTAGCCTGCGGGCTGTTGGATTCGGTGTTGCTGGCAGACACCAACACAACGCTGTCCAACATGCCAACATCTGAAACGGTATAACAAGTCGTCGCGTCGAATAATCGAACGAACGAATCCACTCATTTGCTTACCGCCACTGACGAACGTGCCCCTGATTTTTATGGCGCTAAGGTTTGACAACACGGTCAAAAATTCCATGGTCGATAAGCTAGGCGTCCACTGGAACCTCGGGTCTTCGTGAAGTCGATATGTATACGTCTTAAGAGACACAAATCGTTTAAACAAAAAACGCCTTACTTAGCGGCAACACAAAGAACAACAAGGTACTGTAGTAAGTTTGAATCTACACACATGCAATATGACAGAACAAAGTACCTAGCGCTTAAAACCAATAATGGAGTTCCTACTACAACGCACATAAACTATTCCAAAAGGGTTCTGAAAGCTTCACAGCAGTTCAAGTAAACAGGTAGAATATACCCTCGACATTGATACGTTAATTCTCTAGCATATTCAGAAAGATATTAACCAATTAGCCAACAAGTTGAAGCTGCTACAACGTAGTAGTATTATATAACAACAATACTAAATAAAGGCATTATTCGCCTCTACGAAGATTTTCGACCAAACCACACACGTTTTGGGTTTTTCAATTATCAACTGACATCCTATGTTCAGAAACTGGGTATCATTATGGTTCATTATGTGCCATAGCATCCGCTAGCATAATTCTGCTTGACCAGCTTGATCGAACGCTAACCAGCAATCATACTCGTAGCGCCATCAACGACCTTCTCCTTGCTCATGTTTTCCTTTACCACACGACGTTTGTTGAGCTGATACGAAATCGTACCATCATTCAATGAGCAAGGAGTCTTTGATGGTCATCGGATATCACTCAGCAGTAATAGCCATCCAGCAATGTTTACTGAACCATTCTATGGGTCCAGACCTTCGCGCATTGTTGTTCCTGCTTGCCCGACGACATTTCTCATTCTCATTTGTTATTTGAATATATGCTTAGGAGGAGCTCCCCATGCAGACTCTCAAGACCCTTCTTTCCATCGCTCTTTCTAGGAAGCAACGCATTAAGTTTCAGAACACTTCGTTAGAGCGCACACCGCGGTTGCTGTCAAAGCTCAGTGCTACTGTCGCCGCTGTGAATGTGTACCACTGAGTGGAGGTCATCCCCACAAATATATTATTTAACCCCTCATGTTATCTAACAGTGGAACGCTCTATTTGAAACTTGAAATGCCGTTGTCAAACGCGTGAATTTCTAATTCCGATTCCACTGTGGTGTTGAAGCCTTTAAGATGTGACAACCATTCCAGAAAATCCCACTGAGGAACCGCAACACTCTGCTTTCCATGTTTCCTTCAATATTAGACATCTTATGTTCCCCCCATTTTCTTCAGCGACAACGTTTCGCTGCAGTGGATCATGTCGGTAAACGGTTGTATCAAACAGATAAGCGTCTGCTGCTCTCATGGTCTACTCAAGTAGAAAGTTTTATGTGTTCTTTCTTTCTAAGCGAGATTTCAGCCCTCATTACCTTCACGCTCGTATGAGATTTTTACCTTCTGGCTGGAGGAAAAGTAAATTTTCGCTTTTTCTACCGATTCCCAATATATTGCAATTTGGACCATATTCAGAATATCTCATCACATGTATTTTGTCTCTGATTGGCTGACTTTACCACATAAGATTTCAGGATATGTAAAATGATGAAAGCAAGTACAGAAGAATTAAGAAATTTTACCTGCTCATAATTAGCCGGGACCGGATTGTTCTGCGCGAATATGGGTAGGGAAATCAACTGACCGTTGCCGCCCTCGATCACCACGTCACGGATGGATGCTCGCGCGTTCAATTCGGTCACCTTCAACTTGAAGATCAGATGTTGGTCGTACGAAGAGCGCTGATTTCCGACAAACTTGTCTGAAATCATTTGATTCCAATAAGTGATGGGTTTATGTCTGTCATGGTAAGCAATCGGAACTTCTCCTTACCTGAGGCGACGAAATACGTTGGACCGTCAACTTCGCGAACCATGATGTTACCATCTTGCACATTGTACTGTAACTCCTCGCTGTTACCACCATAACGAACTGCCGTCCAGCCATCTTTGCCTGGAGAACCGTATATTAACAGCTGCATAACGTAACACAAAACGGTTCAAGCAAATGCAGCTTTCCATTCAATCTTACCTCTGGTGAAGTCAGATGAAATGTTGAACTCGTAGAAGCCGGGGGCAAAGTCACACACTGAGGTGTGACCGTAGCAAAAGCAAGGCGAACAGCCGAATTCGTTCTCCATGTCCAGGTTAAAAAAGCCCGGTTTGCACCTGAAACCCAACATCAGCTGATAGATTACCATTTCAATGTCCTGTCCTACCGATCGCATCGCCGTCCTTCAACGTTCTTCTTGCATGAACAGTCACCCGTGTCCGATCGACAATTCGGTTTGTTGCTCAACGAACCGGCTTCCACACAACCGCAATGTCTACAGTATAAAATCTGTCTTTAACATTTGACGCAATAAGACACAGGTAAGGAGCTACAGAAAAAATTATGCAACGCAGCATAATAAGCGTTTTGGTTTACAACGACCAGAGTTGGTTTATAGCAATAGTGATTTAGAGAAGGACCTCATTAAATTCTCTATACCTGGTCATACGGCAAATTTACATCAGCCGCATGCATATAAACACACAGAGAAAACTATTACATAATTTACATCACTAACTTCAACATCTTACAGCACGAAGAGTTTTGCAGTGATGAACATATTCAACAGTACAAACCATATCATTTGTTTTAGAAGAAACAATTGTGAGAAGTTTTTGACGTACCGTTTGTGACAAGCAACGACCGCTTTAGCAAAAGAATTAAACAAATTCTCCTAATACTGAAGGCGCTCTAATGACATTCAGAATGTTGCCTAAACACTGTCCAGGCACTTAACAGTAACATGGTAGCTGCATACGTCGTAAAAGATGGTTGTTGATGAGTATAGTCATGGAGATTACGTTCATTGTGACAGTATGTAGTGACATTCATACATAGACCCTATGTAAAATAATATTAATCGGTTTGGCAGATATAATTAGTCGTTTGTGGACGGAAATCGAAAACCCCGCAACGGCAAGATTGCAACACAACCGTAATATGCTAAGGACAAGACTGATAGCGTAAATCGAATTCTACCAGGGTTAATCGGATAAATTTTACTAGGGGCGGAAATAAACAACGCTCGATTCATCTTTCAATAAATATTTACCTAAAAAGGTGCAAGGGGTAACTGAAGTGTAGGAGCGAACAACTAAGTTGCAACAATCAAACCAGATTACTAGAACACCCAGTGTGCCTAGATGCCAGCCATATGGCGCGTCCTCGTGCTGAGCATAGGGGAATGATATCCATGTGTGGATGTTAGCCGCAAGAAATAAGCTAGTCACGGACAGGCAGCGATATGAGCACCAGGGCGTGGTTGATCTAGAGTTCGACAAGATCGTTTCTTTAAAAAAATCCCAATACCTAACGACAGTTTTATTTTGTATAATCACAAAGAGCGCTATGTATCGTAACAGCATATGCTATATACCGCATAACGTACCTGCATCCCTGATGCGAAAACTCATAATATCCGGGAAGACATTGGTCGCAGTATATGCCACCAACTCCTGGCTTGCAGATGCACCGACCGTCTGACGCGCATTGTAAACTAGCTGAACCTGAAAATCACACCATTTCTAGTGCCAATCGCTATCAGGGGTAACGACATACATAAGCGTCGTCGCCCGTACCCTTAATAATTACCGATTTCGTTGCACTGACAAGCGATGCAGGTAGCTTGCCCATCAGGTCGCCAATAGTTCTCCATACACAGCTCGCAGTGCGCGCCGCGGGTGTTGCCAACACAGTCCATGCAATGGCCGCCATGCCCG